GACTGAATGGGTCAAATGGCTTGCTTCCATACTGTAGCGATTCTATGAATGTACTTTACATTTCAATTAATGTAAACACACAAGTCATTGAAAATGAGATCTTACCTTCGGACCTCTCTGCCCTGTACGTGAGGGGAAGAAAAAGAAATAAAGTTTACATAGTGATTTTCATAAGAGCTATATTGCCATTTCAAGATACATCTTTCACAGACTAATGGGGCTACCCTATTGGGGTGGGGGTACTCAATTAAAATCGCAGCCTTTGTTTCCAGCACCAGCCTGGGGCAATGCCAAGCACAGACAGCCTGGCATGTGCCTGCACTGGTACTGAACTGTAGCTGCAATGCGGATCCAAATAACTCTGGAATCAGCAGGGAATCATCTGTCAAGTGCTCACGATTTAGTACAATAAAACCAGCAAGCACATGTTGAAATGAAAACAAAAGCCTGCTAGCACCATAACCTGTTAAAAAGCAAATTACTAGGGAATGATTATTCCTCCAGCAGAGTGTCTTTCTTTCTTTTGAAAAAAAAAAGCTTCTTAAATCAGCATATGTTTTGGCAAAGTAAATAAAATAGCTCAGTCGGTATTAAGGTTTGGCTGGATGATAAGCAGAATTGAATATAAAACATTAAACATTTGCAGCAAATACTTCTTTTAAAAAGGCATAATCTGATTTCAGAAAATCCCACATTCCTCTTTTACTTCTTTTATTCACTGGCACCAGCAATAAGAAAGATTCAAAGATTTTCAGTTCCCTCTCATCTTACTTTGTCCAGGGGTGTGAAATTCCAAGTAGCAGCGGCAGAACTGAATGCTGCAAAACTTATCGATTTGCACACATTGGAACAAGAGGGGCAAAAAAGACCTAATTTTTATCTCGACATCCAATTAGCAGAATACCGTGGAAATATTTGGCTGTGGGGAATTTGGCGAATCATTTGCAAGTAACATTGATGTACAAATGTTGCTGTGTTTCCTGTCCAATCTGTTCCCAAGAGAATTGGAAATATCAGGAGATTTTTGTTTCAATGTTCTGAGTCACCAGACTACATCGAACTCGCCTTTCAAATGAAACAAGATCAGCAAGGGGGGATGCACAGTGCATCTGATGAAGTCAGCTACGAAATAACTTGCATTTTTGGAGGTGGAAGCTTCAAATGGATGGATCAAAAGTTGTGGAACAAAGAGAGAGTTCTCTTTATCTTTATAACTTGACCCAACGGAGTGACCACTTGAAACTTGTTTCAATCAGCTCTCGGACATGAAAGCAGGGATTGCAAAGTGGTGAAGCTCAGCTGTAACCTGCAACCCTCTTGCTGATCTGCTATAATCGGCACGAGATGCATAGAGGAGGAAAATTCCTAATGAGCTGCAAGCATGTCGATTTCTGATTTGATTAAAGTGAGAGGGGCAAGCTTGCGAAAGCTGATCTGGACATCTTTGAATTGACTGCAGCAATGAATAAAATGACAGCAAAAGAGAAAGTGCAAGGAAAATACAGATTTCACCTTTTGCTTTGAAAACACAGCAGCCATTGATGGGCAAACCGTCCCAGGAGAGACCTTTGTGGCTGTGCCCATGAATGGGGACTTTATATAGTAATTTATTTATATAGGGAAAAAAATAAATAAATTACGATCGCTGGGAGCAGGTCGGTCTTTCTGACAGACAGGGCAGCATTCTCCAGAAGGAATCTCAGGATTAGGGCAATCTTTAAGATCTTCGCAGATTATCTCGTCACAAAGGATAATCCCAGAATCACAGACACAGATTCTACAAGGCTCGGGTTTCCACACATCTTTGTCACTGTACATCTGCCCGTCTTGCAAACAGTTCACTTTCAGGTCCTCTGTAAGCGAAGGGCGAGCGGAGAGGAGAGAAAGAGAGGGCGAGAAATCTTTTTAGTCATGAATAACAGACTGATACACATGACAGAACTTTCACGAGTTTCTCTCCATTTCTATTGGGTTGAAGGATTTTAATGTAAAAATCAAATATTCTTCTTCAACACTTCAGGCTAGTCACATTGCAATAAAACAAAATATGGTGTACCACAGGAATGTATAAATATGATTAAATATTGTTTTTTATACGCATTATATAAAACATACACACGTACTTAAACACAAATAGTCAGCAATCCATTATCTTAATGATGCATAATATTCAGATTTTCATATGTTAAATTCACAAATTCTAAATGAAAACAAATTCAATCGATTATCAATGGCTTGACCATCTGATTTTAAAATCCATGAGCCTATTAGTGACTTCAATTGCCCTGGATTAGCTATTTTTGTTACTTTAAATCAAAAATGTGTAAAAAAATAGGAGTACACGCACACAATTGCCACCAGATGGCTCCACTGTATTACTCCAATCACATTGAAATTCTGTATACAAATAAATCCCCATAAAATAGCGACAATAAAAAATCAGACTTTACCAATTCCATTGCTAAAACTACTGGATTACATTTACTAAGCCTGACTACTGAGTAGGAACTTATAAATCTAATAGACGGTGTTATGATCAAAACTGGGGAATAGTTTGTTAAAGAATATTAAATATAGATTGACAATGCAAAATGTTTTACGATGAGAACCCTTCTCAACACAGTATCTTTCAATATTTAAGACATGCAAGTACCAGGTAATGAATTGCAATGACAACTATGAAAGAGGCTGGATTGAACCCAGTTGCTGATTTGGGATCAGGTTCTCTGCCCTGTGTGAGCCCGGTAGACCCTCAGATTGAATGAATAGATCTCATTCTCAATTGACACACAGCCGCTGATTCACAGCCCACTGTCGGAACCAGGTTAAGTAAATAGTAAGGGGATTGCAATCAATCCACATACACACACAGTCTCTCCGGGCAAACAGCAAGGACACAAAAGCATCATTCAGAACCTGCTTACATCCAGCTCCTGCGTGCATTCCAGTGTACATTTCTACATTCCAGACATAAAGGACTCACAGTTAACCTGGCGTTCTGAAGACGCGTTCAATGAACCTCTATTTCCAACTGTTGACATTTATATATCATTTTCCAACTATCTATCTGTAACTGGAAGTACTTTTTAACTGTGTCTGGAAACCCAATGCGAGATTTATTTGTCCTGAATATCCATGCTGACTTGGTGTAAAAGACCAGCTCACACCGTCAGAATCTCCGGGTTCCAGTTTTTAACTGTTTGAAGAGGATGGGGGCTATTTCAGACTGCTTTGAAGTTTTTCTCTCGCAGTTTACTCACTGTAGTACTCCTCTGTGGGACTCAGCAGAGAAAGGTTTGATCAGGAGCTGGTGCTTTCTAACCGCACTTCCAACACAAACAGATTTCATAATGTGGCACGCCACTTTAATATATTTTCAAACCCACCTGAATTCCTTAGCTAAGTACTGAGGCTCAAAGTTACAAACAAGTTCCCCTCCCAACCCCCCCCTCCCCCCCCCCCCCCCAACACACTTCTCTTTGAATTTAGTTTAACTTGTGCTTCCAAGTTCGGCTCAGTGCTGGTGAGAGAGGGCTTTCAAACTTCCTGAGTTTAAGGGGTTGGGGGAGGTTGGAATATTGGTGTCTGGAGCCTCGTGAGTGTGGACTGGTTGTAAAATGGTCGAAGAGAGAGTGATAGGCTCCCCTTGAATACCAAAGAAAGAGAGAGAGAGAGACTAGACAATATCGAGTGACACAGAAACTTGTCCTTTCTTGTTAGCGGGCTCTCGGCTGTGACTGTTTCAGAGCGCATTTCAAGATGAATAACAAAGGGTGGATTAGTCTAAGTACTGAGAAAAATACCCCAATCAGACTAACAGGGACAATTATGGGGCAAAAAGAACAGAAACCCATCGGTGGAACTGCAATTCCTAAGCACGATTTATTGTGGTTGAGACTCCTAGAAGGATTTGTGACCCACTCCGCTGAATATTCTTTCTGTCTCGGGTTGAGTTTCCCCCTCAAAAATATAACTTATTTATAACATTTGTACAATAAGACCACAGCATTTCGACTTAAATATTGCAGAATTTTACAATAAAATTCAACCACGCTCCACCAGCGTAATATTTACACCGTCCAGTGGCGGACTCGGATTGTCTCGGGTCCCTGTGCACCGTGGTAGCAGGGATGCGAGCCAGCAGAGAGTCTGATCCCTCATCTGGGCCTCTCTGGAAGAGGTGCCTAAACACCATCCCCTCCCCCATCCCCTCCACTCCAGCCACCCATCAATCTCCCTTTGCAAAGTCTCTCTCTCTCTCCTCACTCGCCACCCCAGTGGTAAAGCTTGGGATCTCTCTCCAACCTCTAACCCCCACCCCCTCTCGCTTTTCTCTCTCTTACCAGGATAGGTGACAACCCTCCACACCGGGGAGCAATTGCTTGACTCCCAAGACATTCCTCGCCACCCCACCCAAAGCAATATGAAATACTTTCCCAGTTCCCTCTGGTATATTGCAAAGATCCAAATGGCTGTATCTTTCTGCTCAGCTTACAGCGGCACTGTCCAGGAGTGAAATTGAACAAGTTCGCTCCAAGTGGTTTTGTTTGAAAAAGATACATTTTGCCAACGCGTTTGGTCTTCCTAGCTCATCAGGACGCTTCGCAAGAATACCAATTTGTGGGACAACCCAACATTTCCAATAGCCCGAGATGAATTTTGGAGGAATGCGGGCGGGTGGAATCCTGACTAGCTCGGGAGTAGCTCATTTACTCAGCTCTGAGGAAGGGTCACTGGACCCGAAACGTTAACTCTGATTTTTTTTTCTTCACAGATGCTGCCAGACCTGCTGAGCTTTTCCAGCAACTTTGCTTTTGTAGCTCATTTACTAACTTACACATGTCTGCCCCCCCCCCCACCACCCCTCCTCTCTCCCCTAAGCCCCAGCATCCCATCAGAGGAAGGAGGGTAAGGAGAGAGTGAGTGACACAAATTGAATTTCTAAACTTTTCAGAAGAATTCAAACGAACACAGACCCACTCACACACCACTTTCACTCCCACTCAACAGTCCCACAAACCCTGAGAATGGAGAATTGATCGGAGGATGATTTCAGAGACAGTGCAAATCTCTCCTCCCGCACACCTCCCCTCCCAGCCCCACTCTCCTCCAGGCTCAATTTGCAACCAATGTTACTTGGCTAAGCTTTCACCCCCAAGCCCCGGCGGGCTGTCTGTTTCTCATTGTTTTGGTTCTGTGGAGGGGAGGGGAGATTGAAGGAATGACAACAGAAAGATCAGACTTACGGATATCTCTGTCTTGACATCTGACAACAGTGATGAGGAGAGCTTGCACTGCAGCAAGCAGTAATAATGTCCGCGAATCCAGAAACCTGAACATGTCTAAATATTAGACATGCAGAATGTGTTAGAAGTGGAGAAGGAGTCCCGCCGTTACAGCGCCGTCATAAAGTCAAGCTTTGCACCGGGTAGCTGGGGGTGGGTTGGGTGGGTGGTGAGGGGGGGTTTGAAGTCGGGTATCCAGCAGCGCTCTCTCTTCTGGCCCTGGGACAGCAGGTTTTAAATCCGCTCTCCCTACAAGGACTGCGTATATCCCCACCGCCTAGAGATCCCCACCCCTTTGGCCCCCCAGCCAGGCTGGGATCCCGCCCCCTCCTCTCACCCT